AAAAGCAAGTCACTTCATTAAATTATAACCACTTTCTTTTTCAACCTTTTCAATCGTATAACGATTAGTATATGTGGGTAACAATCTAAATTATTTTATTTACCGGTGGTAGTTTATTTGATCTTATGTGATATATAAAAAGTAAAAGATCTTAAGATCGAGTCTTTTTGATTACAATTGTTTTTACCAATTTAATAAATTAAGAGGAAAATACTCCTGTTGTGACTAATTGAACTTCCAATGAATCAAAAAAAAATTATTTTATTTGCTATAAGAGAATGTCTCGTTTAATCGATAAGTACCAATATTAGATTTTAGGGTGAGGATTTAATTAGTTTGATTTAAATTTTTTGAAAATGAAATGATTAAACTTTTTGAAAAAGTAAAACCAAATTTATGAAAAATATAAAAAATGTTAAAAGAAATAATTTGGAAGCAAATTAAATAATTAAAGTAGTGAAAAAAATATAATATATACATATACACATGAATAATTTTTTAAAAATATTTTATATACTAAAATAGTTAGAATAAATATTGAATAAAATGGTAAATATATAAAGGCTTATAAGCGACACAAATCAAACTAATTAAAGCTAGTTCATAACCTTTTAAAATTAGTTGGTTAAGCTCAAATTTATCTTTAGCATTCAATTTGACCTCCCAGCAAATTTAAGTTCCTAGTAGACTCAATTTTCTAAAACAGTCTAATTAATTGGTTAGTTCTAATTCTTTAACGGTGGTTGCCCCAAACCTAAATAAATCCAAATGTCTTTTTAATGAATTCTAGCCTTCATCCTAGTCATTCCACATTTGTTGCATAGCTCAAATATTTTAATAAATATTATATAAATATATTATTATTATGATTATTGAGGTCATTTATGATTTTTTTTAGAACCCGCTCTATACTTTTAGGATTGGACTTAAATCCAATTATTTAATTGGATATTTATTTAATTATAGCTCATCACATGTTATTTTCATTTACGTGATTAATTAAATTTTATTAATTAATCAATTAAAAGAAAAAGACAGAGGAAGTGGGCTTCAGTTGAGCAAAACAATGGGCACTCTCAAATGGTTGTTTGGTGGTATACCAAAGGTCTTCACATGGGAGGCTAAAGGAGCTAGGGATGTAAGGTGATTCGGTGGATATTTTGATAATTGCTTGTGAAAATTATAAAAGGAGTAATCAATTTAATTTAAAACGACACCATGTAGAAGTCGTAGTCAAATTCTCCCGCGAATTAACTAAATCAAAATCAATTTAATTTTTCAAACCTTGTCTTTATTTTTTTTTTCCAAAGCTCTGTCTTTTTATTTTTGCTATAATTACAAGCTTTCTTTATATTGCAAGCAATATTTATTTTTTACGAGCAATCAAAACTCTATTTTACTAGTTTGTGCATGTATATATATACACGAAAGAAATTATTCATGTGATTGTGAATAACTTTTATATATTTATACTTATTAACTAATGATTTAAACTTCTAGATTAGATGGATAGTTTTCTGAAAAGAGATATTATTAGGAAAAAAGAAACCCAAATGACGATAACTTTACAGTTAAGGTGTCAATATAATTAATTAATAAAGAGAGAGATCACGGATATTATGATATAAACTCCATGGAAATATGCCACCTGTGAACTATAGCCTATTCCATGAACTCACCATAACCAAACACATTTCACTATAAATATCCTAACTCTTGATAGTTTCATGTTACAAAGCAATTTAGAAAGGAAAATTCTGGAAGAGTTGGAAGTGCCATGCCATCGATTGAAGCTCTAGCAATGGCTGGTGTAGACTGTGGAAAGTGCAGCATCAGCCTTGAGGAGAGGGAGCGAAGAGACAGGGAGAAGACGCCGCCGTATCTTCTTGCGGAACCAGAGCCAGCTGCAGGAAATGACAAGATGGAAGAGATATGGAAGGTGAAGGTAAAGATGGAAGTATTGGCTAAAGCAGTCACTTCTTCGATTCATATTATGAATAACAAAGGAAAAAGTATGTAGAGGCTCTTGTAACACCCAAAAACTCTAACTTGGAGTTTTCTTTATTAGCTACCAGTTATAAATTTTATTTCTATGTAATACTGTTTATGGTATTTATTATATGAAAGTAACTATATATATAGTTTGAATTAATAATTTATATCTTCATTATTATTATTATTATTATTATTATTATTATAATAAACTAATTTTTACAAACTATTATTTATCTTTCAGTCATTAATTAATATCTGTTATCAACGACAAACTGTTATTAACAACTAATTAAATGAAAGAGGTTCATATGAGTTCGGTATTATGATTATTATTAACTGAGTTTATACTCATCATCTTTTTATTTTATACTTTAGAAAAAAAAAGTTTTATTTTTTCTTCTTCCTAACTCAATAGAGTAATCATGTACTGATTAAGTCCTGCGTTTTATCTTTTTATCATGCTCTTGCATTGCATTTGATATTTTACAGTTATTCTAAAACACATGCAGTTATATTGGAATTAAATTTTATATGTTCACTTCTGGTCGGAGTTCATATTATTGAAGTATGTATCTAATAGTGATAAAAGTAGTTTTATGTAGAGGCTCTTGTAACGACCTGGCAAGAAGAACTCTAACTTGGGTAGTTTTCTTTAGATTAGGTACTACCCTAGGTTTTATTATGTAATTATTTATTTCGTGGAGTGTAATAGCCTGTTTATGGTATGTAATTGATAATATGGTGAAAAGTATAATATGTATTATAGTTAGTTTGATGAATTAATAATTTATATCTTTCAATTAGTTATTATATGATATATTAATATATGTATGTATATAAATAAACTAAATTTTTTACAAACAATATGTGAAAGTTTATTGCTTGTCAGTCATTTAATTAGATATCTGGTTATCAAAACGACAAAACTGTTTATGTGAACTAACTAATTAAAATGAATAGAGGTTCAGGTATGAGTTTCGTGTATTATGATTATATTAAATTAAGCTGAGTTTATACTCAGTGCATCTTTTAATTTGTTAGTACTTTAGAATAAAAAAAAAGAGTTTTTTATTTTTATCACTTTGACTCATTACTTCAATATGAGTAAATCATTTGTACTATGAAGTTAAGGTCTCTGCGTTTAAATCGTTTGTGTATGTCATGGTACCTTTGAGACATAGCATTTGATATTGTTATCAGTGTGGGTTAGTGGTACTAAGAACACACATCGAGTTTATTATTGAGGAATTAAATTTCTTTAGTATATAGGTATGTAGGGATGAGGGTCGTATGTATTAGTGGTGTGTATTAATATTATACTATTAGATTAATATAATGTGAACGGGCTTTTGGAAAACGGGTGAAATGGATATGGGAAAACTGGTTGAGAACAATCATTTCTTGACTCCGTTGCATAATTAAAGACTCGTATTATAGTGTTTGTCGTTAAAAAAGATAAAAGTAAATAGATAAATAAAACCATTCTATGATAATAAATATATGAAAAGCTTCAATCAAAGTTTAATTTTAGGAAGCAAATTATTTATGTTGTTCCAATGATATTGTTGGATCGTGGATTTATATTTTTTAAATTTTTTTAATTATCTGAAGATAAAAAAATATCCAAATTATTACAACTTTTTATTTTCTTAATTAAATAATTAATAAAATATATTATAATAAATATTAAATTTCAATTAAATAAAAAAGACTTTTTGTTTTTATTTTGCTTTGAGAATAATTAATAATTCTTAAATAATAATTTTTTTTATATTCATATAATAGAACACTAAATTAGTTTTTTTCAATAATTAATAATCACACTTTAATAAATTGATATAATTGGAAAGCAGTAGGATTTGGTTATTTTATAATTTAACTATAATCGTCTATTTGTTTAAAAATTTTTTATATTAATAATAGAACACTAATTAGTTTTTTCAATAATTAATAATCACACTATAAATTGATATAACATTTTGTTATTTTATAATTTAACTATCTCTATTGTTTAAAAAAAAATTAATTCCCTTTGAGTATTATATATATATATAAGCACTACCTCTCCTAAGTTTATCATACAAATTCTTATATTCTTTTTTATGTTCAACATATTTGTAAATAGTGATAAAAATTAATACCTAACGCAAAAGACGTCTATAATTAATGATTCATGAAATTTCTTTATTTTTCCATTTTAAGTAATTTTATAGTTTGAGTAATTGGTAAACAATATTTCTGTTGACTGTTTTTAGTTTAGTTAAGAAGGTAAGCTTATTGTTTTTAATTTATTAGTCTAGAATTTATAAAAAATGTTTAATTAGTAGTTTTTATTATCATAGTCAAAAAAAAAAAAAAAAAAAAACAAAAAAAAAAAAAAAGAATGAAATGTTCAATATTATTTTCTTTTCATTACATTAATTTAATTTAAAATTTTTTCAACTAAGATTTAATTTTATATTAATTATCTCGAGCGCGCGTGGTTTCAGTTCCCCCAAATTTAATCCTCAAATATATAAAAAAAAAAAAAAAAAAAAGATGAATGTCAAATATTATTTCTTTTCATTACATTAATTTATTTAAAATTTTCAACCAAATTTAATTTATATTAATTACTCGACTGGTTTAGTTCCCCAAAATTTAATCCTCAAATATATTCAACCGCTTCATCCATTTTATTTGATTTAACACCAGTAAGCTATTTAATCCTTTTTAAAATAAGCACCGCGCTTTTTTTAAAATTAATAATTAAAATATTTGACTATTTAATCCTTCATATTTAATTTAATATTACTACATACCCTTCACATTTGTTAGTATTAAATTATTATTTAATGGGTTAAATATTTTCCGATCCTTAAATTATGATCAAGTTAACACTTAAGTCTCTCAATGTTTAAGTAATTATTTTGAAGGACCTAAATAATATTGCAGTTACACTGATGTCCTTCCATCCAATATAGAAGTAATCCCTAATGAGAAACTAACTTTCTGGTTTTCCCTAGTTTCAGCACAATTATCACTGCTCCATAAAAATATACTAATTATAATATAGCACTGAAAATAACAAGCCAGCAAAATTTTCTAAGTACTTAAGGTACCGAAATACCAAGAGTAGTTCAAGCTTTTATGATATTATTACATTTGTCTTCAGTGCTTCCATGACTTGGTCAAATCACAAAGAAAGCCTTCCAGCTTCAATTACAACCATTCTTCCTACCACTTTTGCTTATCCCACAGCTCCATCTGCAGAAAAGATGAGACTTTTAACACAGTATCAAAGTTAAAAATAAATTCTTACTTTAATAGAAACACCATTTTCTGTGTTCCAGTTAGGTAAATTTTATAACACAAAAGGAACCAATACAGAATGATAGGATTAAATGGAAGCAAGATGTTCCCACCAAGTTCTTTTCAAAATAGATGCTGTTCCTAAAAGTTGACAGCCTATCTCAGATTAATTAAATCCAGAAGATCATTTCCAGCAATTGCAGTATGAAGAAACAAAAACATATAGACCCTATTCAGTTGTGGAAAAGAGTTTTCTGTTTTCTATTTTCCATTTTCTATAGAGATAGAAAATTTGCAAATGGAAAAGAGAATTGGAAAAATGGAAATTATGTTCATGTACAACGTATAATAAATGGAAAGCTATTTTCTAACTCTATAAAATGGAACATGTATACAAATTATAATTCTTTTCCATATTTATATTTTATATATGATTTATTATTTATATTTTTCATATTATTCTTTTTTTATGTTATAATTTTTACATTAATTTTTCAAATTAATTTTTTTGCCATATTTTTTATTTTTTTTTATTTCAATTATATTTGTTTAAAAATAAAATCACATATTAAGCTAATACCTGCAGTAAATAGCAAAGAATCAGGAAACTAGATCAAATGAACTTACATTGGTCAGGTAGGAAATAAAAAAAAATAAAGCCAGAATTCACAAGGCATAAATTCTATGTTTTTTTATTCACTCACTCAAAATATAAGGACATGTGCAACAAAGGAATTTCAGTTCACAATATACCACTATAAGCTTTCACACCTGGATATATTATATAGAGATTTCAAGTATTTACCAAGAGATTATAAATTGATTCCTCGAGAACTCTAAAAAGACTGATAAGAAAGGGTGAGAATCAAATGTTAAATTGGGCAATCTTATCTAATGGTCATATGTAATTATCATTGGATATCTTTTTATGCTCATTTTCACAATTAGATTTTCACCAACAAAGATGTTCCCATAAGATTCAATTCAAACCAATAACACAATACTATGCATAAACCCATAGAAAATGACCAAGAGAGCAATGACTGTTCAAAACGAAATGCAAGGATATTAAAAATATGAGCAATACTCAACATAATTAGTTAGCCAACTAGAGTCCTGAAGTAATTTATCCAGCATGAAAGGAAATTGAGACAAATGCTAGAGCTATATTTTCAAAGGACAGTCTTTGGTTCACAACTAGAGTGATGAAAGGAAGAGTTTGGCTAGATCTTATGATCAAATCTTGATGATACAAATATATGCAAATGATATCAAAAGCTTCCCCATATACATGATTTATCACTCTCCTTCCCTTCCCAACTTCATACTACTAGTAACATTACCATCAAAATATGCACCAAGCATACTTCAAGTTTTCTTTTCTTTTCTTTTTTAATGAACATCGGGGGTGATTTCAATAACTCTAATTTCTGTGGCAATGCTATGAACATCTAACAGACATGAGAATATTGCCAAACAGTTCACTATCTTGTAGGAAGATCTAACCCCAGAAAACAGAGCAATAACATAGAAGCAAATCCAAAACATCAGAACCCTGAACACGATTTACCAAAAATATAACACTATAATGCTCCTTTTCCCTTTCAATGTCAGAAAATCTCCTTTAGCTTTTCATTTTCTTCTGTTGGCACCAAAAAGCTTTAAAAAAAGGGATAAACATGACAATAATAAAACAAGGGGAAGCGTTGTTTCTCTCTAATTGTTGTATTGTGAGTGTTACAGTTATATCACACAGCAGTTAGTTAGATTAGAAACGGATAATTTTTACATAAAAACAATACATATACTAAAAAGAGAATTTTAAAATTTGAAACGATGGTAAAGAAAAAAAAAATGTAACAATATGTAGTCCTTTGGTTTCAAGAACATTTCTTGCACTGGAAACAAAGGCTATATAAAGTCAAACTAATAAAATGCCTGAAAATGATTAACTAAAAGAGAACCCAAAACTAAAAAACTCAAAAACCTAGTTGAATTGTACTTTAACAAACTTACTATCTAAAGAATCTATTTCAATTTGGCATCAGGAATTATTTCAAGACTATATTGGTGGTTTTCAGGTTCTGTTGCCATCCCCATTTTTTACTCATCCCCAATTGTACAATTTTGACAATTGTTCTAACTACCCCACCACTTTTCCTTGGTTTGTTTATTTGAAATTTTCGTAAAAGAAGCCCCACCATCACCATAGAAGTGAAAACTTCCTCACGTATAAACATCAAAATAGTTAAAACAATGAGTTGGGAATTGGAGAAATCTCCATTTCAGTAGTAGCCATGCTTGAAACTGTAGTTGCAGAAACATTAGTGAAGAACAAATTCAAATTTCTTGGAAAATAGTTAAAACAATGAGTTGGGAATTGGAGAAATCTCCATTTCAGTAGTAGCCATGCTTGAAACTGTAGTTGCAGAAACATTAGTGAAGAACAAATTCAAATTTCTTGGAAAATAATGTTTTAGCTTCAAAACCTTTAGAACACCAAAACTCAGAAAAGAAAGAGGCATAAAATAACATAATTCGATTCAAAATGGACTCACTCTAACAAAAATGAACCTAGAGTTAGAGTATGCCATTAAAAACTAGGAAGACCATACAATTTTTTTCCAAAACAAATTGCCAATTTAACCATCTTTATCTTGGAAAAGAAATTTATTTGCTTGCCATGAGAGCAACCAAGTTTAAACAAAGAAGCCACATTCTGAAAAGAGTAAAGGGACCCACATAAGCATACAAACAGAAAGACAGATTTTTAATGTTCTAAAAGCAGATAAGTACCTCATGCCATTAATAATAAATTCGCAAATCTAAAATAGATACCTAGAAAGAGTACCCACTAAAACATGAGAACTATCGAAGGCATTTTCAAAGTTACTTATATCTGCCAATGATAGCATATAAGAAAGCTCAAGCTCAAGAACCCAGCACTAAAAGTTAAACAAGGAGAAAGCAATCAAGTAAAGACGGATCATAAAAGCCATAAACAATAGCAACCAAACTATCAAAGGAATTTTCAAAGTTACTAATATCCGCCACAACAGCAAGCAAACTACCAGCTCAAACAAAGACCAAACCACCACCGCCCCCACGCCAAGACCAAACCACCACCGCCCCCACGCCGCCCGCCGCCCCCCCCCCCCCCCCCCCACAACAACAACACCAAAAAACATAAAAAAATAAAAAGAAAAACAACACACAAAAAAATAAAAAAATAAAAAAGAAAAAGAAATCCAGCTATCAACCTATCCATCAAACACCAAAACCACAATTCCGAAAAGGCAAATAAATGAACAATCAACTAAATGAAAGAAAATAAAAATAAATAAAAATAAAAATAAAAAAAAACATGAAAACAATCTCAAACATTACTTCACCTCATCTAATTTTCTCTTTCCCAGAACTCCTTTTGGTAGCCTCCTTAACCTTCTCAATATACCCTTCAATAGGAGGAGTCAAGGTAGCCATAAATCTATTAACAGGAAAGGGAGTCAAATCAGGAACCAAAGCAGCCGCCTTTAACTTCTCAGGCAATGCTTCAATAGCTTCTTTCTTCAATCTCAAAAGGGTAGACTCAGCTGCTTGTCTTGCCCTATGTTTTCTCATCAAAACCCTACTATATTCTTTAGCCAATCTTTTCCCATCCTCTTCAGTAAGCTCATATTTAGGTATTTTATCAGCATCCACCAACCCAAGTTCTATGAGGTCGAATCCAGGAGTACCCATTATCATAGGCTCATCAGGAACACCCATAGCTTTCCTACCCCCTTTTTTGAGAATCTCTTTTTCTCTCTGTCTTTCAAAGCTTGTAAGCCCCAATTTTTCCCGCTCTGCTTCACGCTCACGTTCTTTGGGCTTGAGGAAACGAACTGGAGTTGGCGCATTGATACATTGCTCATATAATCGGTACTTTTCTGCGTCTTGACGCGATACTGCTGGTGCTTTTGATGGGTCTTGACCTTTTTTAATGGAGATTTTAGATCGTTGCTTTGGTTGGCCATCTTTGATCTTTCCCTTTCCCTTTGCTGTTCCGCTTACAGAACAGCTTTGGAGGAGGTGGAGATTAGCTGTTAGGGATTGGAAAGGTCTTGATTTTGCAATTCTAAACATTTCTCTGTTGTTTCTGTGTTTATTTCTGTTGTTGCAGGCTTAACGATGTTTTCTTTTTCCGGGTAAAGGATGTGTTTGGCGAGGTAGAAAATGTGAGAATTGCGCGAGAGAGAAAAGAAATCGAGTTAGGGTTTTAGGCCTTTAATTATTTAATGGGCCGGGTTAGCATGTATCAGTCATAGGTGGGCCTATGCCCACTAAGAATAAAAGTATTTCTTAAAAAAGAAAAAAAGTGAAACGCATTAATAGAATTACAATTCCCCTATCTCTCTTTATCCTATCTCCTTTCAATTATTCTTTTTATTTCAATTAATTTTGGTAAAATTAATTATTTAATCTGTCTTTTTAAAAGTACATGAATTTAAAACTTATCTAACAATTTGTTCCTTTCATCAAATTTGTATTAGTTTTATATGAAAAGATGAAAATCACCTCTATGTTTATGTAAATTAATAAGAACAGCCTCGTCTTTATGTAAAACTAGTCATCAAGTTGTGCTTTTATGAAAACTTTTGATATGCAATTTCATATTGGAACCAAGAATAAAAAATCAGGTATTTTGAAGTTTTACTAAAACTCTTTTGTTTTCATAAAATAACTTGCAGAAAAATATTTTTCAAAATTTTTCGTTGTTTGGGGGCATTTAAGAAAATAAATCAACGGAAAATATTTTCCTAGTCAAAGGAAAATTAAGTTATTTTTTAAAAAAATGACTTTCATTTTTCAAGAACGTAAAAAATTTTTCAGACTTTGACAAACTTATTGTAACCTTACAAATTCATATTTTTTTTTAATTTATTAATCATCAGTATTACCACCACTCGCCATTCATCACCAATCGCCACTATTGACCACCACCATTGTCACATCCACATTCTCATAACATGTCATAAGCATGCATTAAATTATTTTTAGAGTCTAATTATGCATTAAGTATGTTTAATTATGATTCTGAATGATTTATAGTTATTCGGGTAAATTACAGTGCCATAAGGGTATTTTGATAATTTATAGTGTCATGAGACTGTGTTATAAAAATAGAGTGTAATATTAGTATGTCAATTAATTATTATGCAATGCATGTGTTTATATATGGTTCTAGCCTTAAATTTAAAAGAGAAAAAAAATAATTTGCAAATATTCTATAATAAAGATAAAATAAGCTAAATATAAATTACTTTCCATGCCACTACAAGACAAATCTAACTTTTCTTATTTATCATTTTTTCCTACAATGCGACATAAGCATCTTATCTAAATAAAATCACATATTCTATCCTATTGCAATCTCATCAACCAATAAAAAAAGAGAGTTTATGGTGCACCACAAAGCATGTAATTGCACCAGATGCTCACAGGCTTCAAGCATGTGAAGTTAGAGATTCTCATTTCTCAAATCCACTCCTCTCTAAATGCCAACTTTTTCTTCTTTCTTTTCATTTTTTCCTTTTCTCTTTCTTTCTTCTTTCTCTCATACAATACAAACACTTACCGAAATACTCTAATGCCTAAATCCCCTCTCTAAACTCAACTACTCCTCACCATATTTGAATATGTTATTCCTCGTCTCTTGGCCTACAAGCTAATATAATTTATTTCAAGAAAATCTAAGTTTTCAAGGTAAAAATTTACTCTTTCAGGTTACTACTTCTTTTCTCTCTATTTTTTCTCTTTTTATTTGAAGATTTATTCATGTATTTTAAACTAGGACAAAATATATAGCCACTGTCCCTCTAAAATAACTACTTAAAAATTATGTTTTGATATTATATTTCTTGAATATAAGTGCTAAGGATGCTATGTATGTAATTTGGTTATGATTTAGACCATTTTTCATGCTTGTAAGAACCTTTGTGACTATATTTTTATGATTTTATGTTTAGTTTATCAAATTAAATATTTAATCTTGATTATATGATGTTTAATGATGATTAATCAAAAGTTGATTTGATTTAATGTATGTCTAGTGCACTAACTATGGTGGGCCAAACCATGGAAGGACTAATGTGCTGATGTTTAATGATGATTAATCAAAGTTGATTTGATTTAATGTATGTCTAGTGCACTAACTATGGTGGGCCAAACCATGGAAGGACTAATGTGCAGCTTTGACATTTGATGAGGGCTACTTGGAAAATATTCCAAGGACTAAAAGACAAATTCTCTAAGCTTGTGGAGTATTTGGACAAAAGGAAGACTTTGAGGACTTAACCCAATGACTAAAATGTGAATTTGTAGTAACTAAATTGTAATTTGTCCTTAATTAAGGTGATGATCAATTAAGATTAATGATAATTAAGTAGTAGTAATAAATTAATTGGTTAGCAGTAATTAAATTAAGTAAATAGATAGTTAATTGGTGATATCTAGATTAATTAGGTACTTTATTGGTAAATAATAGGAATAATATAAATAATAAGATTTTATGACTACTCCATCAATTAGGTAGCCAATTAGAATAATTTAGGAAGCTAAAGAAATATTGGATTTAAAAATCCTCTTAGATCAATCAATCAATTAATTGATCCACTTAAGTCCAAGTTAGGAGAATATTAGAAAATAAGTGAAATATGGATTAATTAGGTGGTGATATACCATGTTTAATATTAGTGCCTTGGGAACTGTGCTATAGTCTTGGAATTTGTGCCTATTAGTGAACTATTAGTGAATTACAAGTGATTATGTGATAATATGCTACGATTATGAATTTAATTGGATGATATGAATTTTTGATGCCATAATAGAATATTTATATTCTTGTGAAATTAATATAGGATTATGCAATTACATATAGATTATAAAAAATAAGTAAGATTATAAAAAATAAGTACGATTATGTGTTTAATATATGATTTATGGATATGAAATTATGATGGATATGAAATTATGATGAAATATTTAGTAGAGAAAAATATGATTTTTTATGAATAAAGAGAATTTATGAAAGAGAATATTTTTTCGAACTGTAATAAAATACTACAGTGTAATTATGAGACCGAACTTTTATCTACGAACACTGATATATATGAATTATGAAATGAATTAATTACAATAAATATTTTATCGGCCTTGGTCTACTTGGTTGAGTCAGTAGTTGTATAGAGGTATAACATGTCATAGGAATACAGTATTGTCTATATGTGACACACAATGTCTTATAGGGCTAACGAACCCCATTTTATAGGAGCTAACGAACTCCAAATTTTTATAGGGGTTAACGAACCTCATTTTCTGGATATGACCATTTAATTCCGACTGATCGGTAGTATGATGTTATATGGGCTTTCGAGCTGAATATTTATTATCGAATTCTCGATCTGTTGTTTGATTCTTCTAAGTATGCTAAAGGCATAATTAAAAATATAGTTTCTATAAATTAATTAAATAAATAATTATGTTGAGTTTCTATATAATTAAATTAAAAATACAATAATTATGTCTGTTCTTGCTATGGAACCCATATTGCTGATTTATGTGATATCATGATTATTATGTCTAATTTAGATGATGTATTGATTATTGGGATTTAATTAAGCATTGGAACTTGACTATGACATTTTATTTATATTACGCGGGATCTGAAATAATGCCTCTTATATACATCATGCTGACTATGAATATTTATATTACGCGTCTGAAATATGCTATATCATAGTTATGCTGCATGATTATAATAAAATATTGTGTTTTATAATATGTGATATTATGACTGCTTATGTGTATTTTCTTGCTATAAATGAGAAATTAGCACCACTAAGCTTTATGCAAGTCAACGCGCATGTTGCTGGTTTGAGGTAGGTGATCCACAACAGCATTAGACTATTCAGAGACCCCTTATTCTAATATAATCAGTTTTTAATAGTGTCTCTTTTATTTCGGTTTTTAGAAATCTAGCGTCATGTAAATATAATTGAGGCACTAGAATATTTTTGTTAGGTCAGAATGTTATGAACTAAATATTTAGAACAATAATTTTATTTTCAGAATCAGAATATTTTATGGTATGTATTGAATATCTTAAATGCTTTCAGTTAAAAAGAACTAACTTATTTTCTGTGCTGAATTTTTTTGAGATGTGTTGAATGATGGGTTGAGAATGTATAGTTTGTTTTGGAAAATATAGTTGTGGTGTGGACGGATTTTTGTATTTTTGTATTACTAAATATATAGGGGAAAGTCTTGCAGAATTTCTGTAGGATTTCTCCCAAAATTTTTCCAAGTCATTTTTTTAAAACTAAAAGAAATGTTTTTGACATGTCAAGTATTAAGCATGCTAATTTAATACTTTGGTGTTAAACCTAATGTGACTCTTAAGGTCTTATTTTACGAAACCAGATTTTGGTAGCACAATCACGGGTCATCGGCGACTTTCATAATTTATTTATTTTTGTATTATTCTCATGTTTAACAATAAAATTTTTAAAATATGAAAGTTATATTATTATTATTATTATTATTAAAGTTTATATTATTATTATTATTATGTATTATTATTTAATTATAGTCCTATTGCCCGCTCCCCTCTCTCCCAGATATTTTTAACTAATTTTTAGTATTAATAAACAAAAAAATGGAAAAATTATAGTCTTATGAGTTAAAAATTTTAATATTTTTAACTAATTTTTAGTATTATAAACAAAAAATGAAAAATAAGTTATTTGGAAAATATTTTTTAACGACAACCTTTTCCTTGGAAAATACTGTCTTAATTAATTTTAGCCTTCGATAATATAATATTTATCATAGCGTTTAAAGTTAGATAATATAATATTTATCATAGCGTTTAAAGTTTAGAGTTTGAGGCAGCGTTTTGTGAAACGTTTTTTGTATTAACATGCAAGATTGTTTAGTTGAGATTATCAATCACAAGACAATGACTTCTTTAACATTTGTTGAACTTCGTATCAAATTTCTACATCCAAATCAAAATTTTCATACGTATCAAATTTCACAAGTGCTTTTAATTGGTAAATAAAATCAAAACTAGTCCTCAAGGGGATGAATGATGACGGCTGACCTTGTAGACTGGCATATCTTGCCATAACAGAGTGAAACAAAAGCATCGGCAATACATACACAATATGTAAATTAATGTAAGAAAAAAACAAAACTACAATGTCTTGATGGAAAATGATTGAATTAATTTCTCTAAGGCTCATGAAGAAATCCTTTTAATTGCAAGAGACTAGAGATAAAAAAGGGTTACGTTGAATATCGTTTTACATAAGAAATATAAGTAGATTAAATTTATAATAAAAAAAGTAGATTAAGTTTGAATTTGTTAAATTTAATTTTCAAATAGAATTATAATATGAATATAATTCATCAAAAATATATTACCATTAATTTTTAAAATTAAAAAATTATCCAATCAAAATGTAGAAAATAAAGAAAAAACTAAAAAATTTCTCAAAAAAGAAAACAAAACTTCTGGAGTCTATCGATTCATCGCAAGTAGTCGAGAAAGACTATTCTCTTATAAATAAAATACTGAATAAAGAGAAAACGAAACTTCTGGAGTCTATCTAATTTGAGATATAATTCCCAAAACTACATTAAATAGGCCTCTAAGTGCTAATGTACACTTGTTCTCGATTCTACACTTTAGAGCTTGTCTGCTAGATGTATACTATACGAATTTGATCATATTTAACCTTTTAAATTTTACCATATTTTAATTCCTAAAATTTTAAATTTTAAAAAGTATTTCAATCCTTAAATTATATATATATAATTTGGATCATCATTTAACCTTTTAAAATTTTACCATATACGCTTTAATTCCCCTAAAATTTTTTAAATTTTAAAAGTATTTCAATCCCTAAATGTAGTACTAAATATATATAATTATAATCACTAAGTAAGCTAATACTATATCAATAATACATAATATATATATATTATATTATATGCATATCATATTGATTTAACCAGTATGTTGTAATGGAGCTAGGCGCTTATGGTCCCGCTGTTGGGAAAAGCAGATTGCAATAATTCAACTCACTCTTATATATTTAAAGTATTGTAATGGAGCTATGGGCTTATGGTCCTGTGTGGAAAGCAGATTGCAATAATTCACTCATCTTTTGTCCTCTGCAATTATAACCTTGACGAAAGTCTTGTTGGCTAGCAGCGTTTGAAATAGTGTTTAGTATTTTGACAAGTTGAAATACTATTTTAATTAATTATAGCGTTCAGTAATATAATATTTACTCTAGTTTTTACAGTTTAAGACAATGTTTTATGAAACGTTATCTTCATTAACATTTAGCATTTTATAATTTCTTTATGATATCTATACCCATCACCTATTTTTACTTTGTTTCTCGCTTTCATATGTTTTTTTGTCATTTTATAATAAACAACTAATTAAACAGTTATTCGTACTCAACACTTTTATTCTAAACTGCTATATAAGGGATAACCACTAACAGTTAATATTTAATAGCTAACTACTGGTAAAACATTGACAGCTATTAAAACAGTCAATAGTTACCAAAACAGCTAAATTTATTAAACAGACCCGAAGTTATTATTTGGTTGGTAGAGTTCGAAGTAACTAAGAATGTAAGAATTATAGCAGTAAGTTCTAAAGGAAAATCATTTATTTTTCCAAAAAAAAAAAAAAAAAAGACAATCATTCATATTATCAATTCTAGTTATTTTGGTAATAATTGAACCTCATCATAAATTTAAATCCAAATTACCTTCATTCATAAAATATATAAATCCCCAAAATCTATTTATTTTGACACCACTTCTTCTCCAGAATATTAAACTTTCAAATTAAAAATTTTGGCAGGGAAGGAAGGGTGGAAGGTCTTTCCATTAAGCATAGTATTTGGATTTATTATTCTTAAATTACTAGAGATAATCACCTTATTTACATTCAACAATTAAATCTAAAACAACATGAATTAATTAGGAACAAAAGCTTCTTTAATGGTGACTGCCCCACCCATTTTATTTTAGTTTATTTGTTGGAGCGATAACACATCGATATTCAAACCGACAGGAAGAAAAAAAAAAAGGCGGCTGAAAAAACTACGGGATGCAAACAAACAATTTATAAAAAATAATTAAAATTTCTTTAGTTTCCCACTTTGTGGCTTTTTTTTTCTGCGATATAGAGTTATGAAGTATTTCCTGGCTTGTCATGGATTAGATGAGACCACAAGCCTTCGTCCCATTGGAATAGTCCCCTTCAAATTTCTTTCCCATTAGGGAGCTCAAAATCAAACCCATATAAAAGATTACCCAATGTGTACATTTAACCTGCCTGTGAGTTACCCATTTGCCAGACCAGGGACAAATTCTTCTTCCCAGCTCCCGCCTCAAATTTCTTTCCATTAGGGAGCTCAAAATCAAACCCATATAAAAGATTAGCCAATGTGTATTTAACTGCTGTAGTACCCATTGCCAGACCAGGACAAATTCTTCTTCCAGCTCCGAATGGGACCAACTCAAAGTAGGACCCTCTGTAATTATTCTATTAGGAGAATAACTCTTATATAAGTCATTTTCCTAATTAGTGTTTCTTAATTCTCTATGGTACCAAAATATAATATTTTAACTAATTCCCCATTTCTTAATCACTTTCACTTACACAATAAAAAAAATATATTTGATAAAAAGAAAAGTAGCATCTGCAATTCATCAATTAATATATGTATGACAATTGTGGCTCCATATGGTTATCGTTTAAAATCAGCTTAAATTTTTTATAAATAAATTTAAAAATTTACAGAAATATATTGTATGTGCGTCTAATGCATAAATTTGACTCTAAATTTTTGTCGATTATCTTTGTAGTTTCTTGAACTTTGCGAGAGTCCAATTATAACCCCACACTTTCACATTTCACTGATATATTGTCCCTTGCCAAATGAAATATCTTTGCTAGAATTCGATATCAATAACCCTACATTTTCATATTTCATTTTGATCAGGAGTATAATTATTATTGAAATGTAAAAGTGCAGGGTCATGAAAGGTTCTCTGCAAAATTCAGGGGGCCACAAGAATAATCGCTGAAAATTATAAAGTCAAATTTATGCATTAGGTCATTATTTATGAGAGTTGAAACTATCCGTTGTTTGCTAAATTTATGTAAAAAAGAAATTCACCACTTACCAATTAGACAATTTGTCAAATTAAAAAGGAAAAAAGAAAGAAAGGTTTAAGTTAAGTTCATTCATATATATATATATATATATATATATATCGGGGTGATGTCCGCCCTTACGTAAATTCATTCATGTTGCATGTATATAATCATCACATGGATATCATTTTAAAAATTGATTTAATCTAATCATTAATCATCTAACCTATAAAAACACTTGACTTTGAATTTTTGAATCCAAAACCTAGCTATGATTACTTGAATTAAACATGTTGTTATACAAATTCTACTAATTTCCACCTCAAAGGTAACTCACAATTTCCTGTGCATAGAAGTTAAATTCTTTAGTTTTTATTTTTTTTTTCATTTTTATTTTCATTACTATTTAATTATATTTTTGATTTCATACGCATTATTTAATGAGCAGTGCTTTAATATCTTCTCAGAGATTTTTTCCTATCCATTGTTTGAAGATTTATAAGTGTAACTACCGTTTTCAAGTTTTGGAATGAATGAAATTGAAATAGAATTAATTTACCTCCTCAAATAATTAAAAAAGAAAATATAAAAGAAAATATAGGATTACTGATGCTCCATTTATTTCTCTAAAATAACTTGCAGAAAAATATTTTCCATTGAAAACATTTTCTTTGAAAAATATTTTCCTAATGACTTATTGAAACACCCCGAATTTTTATTTTCGAAACCTTTGAATTTTTATTAAATCAAAAATCAGAAATTTTGATCGTGTGGGCTACAATTAGAATAAAAATGAGCCCAGGTTTGCGAGTTGGCGCGCTTAAGCCCAAATATATCATCAGAAGTTTCGATTATTGAACAGTTTAAATTTTCAAGAAATAATATGAAAAACCTCCCAGCAATTTAAATCTATTATTGAATATATATAAATTTAATTACACCAACATCAAAATATGCATACTATTAATATTTTAATTTTTATCTGAGTAAATGGAGAAAAAGTTAAGGAACTAAGTAAAATAATTTAAAAATAACATGCGAACCGACCCAAGAAATCAAATGAATTTTCGGAAACCGCACACCGAATATACCTAAAACAAACCAAGAAAAAAAAAAAAAAAAAACACAAACGATAACACAAACAAATCGACGCTAAAATCGCTGAATTGACATCAAAAGCCGGCTGAATATCGAACCCGAACATGACCCAGATTTCCTTACTATGAGACGCCCCTTTCTTTTCTCTTTTCTTTCATTCTCTCTCCCCTTCTTTCTTCCGTCCTGGCGACTGGCGCGACATCCCCTCCTCTTTCCCTTTCCTTTTCGTCTCCGGCCACCGATTCGACCAAGGGAAATGAAGTTGGCAGATCGATTCCTTTGGCAGGATAGACCTGGGACACGATTCCGAGTCCTTCCCTCGCCTCCGATCAGACCCTTCAAGTGGCAGCCGGATATGGGTACTCCTCAACTTCTTCGCGACGCAGCTGCAACTCCGGCAGATCGAGCGTTCGCGACGTGAAGCTTCAAGGTGACCGCTTGCGTCAGTTTCCCGTGACGTCCCTGCCGCATGTCCATACGTGCGTGAACGCTTCAGTTCCATCCAATAAGCGACAGGTTTTAGTTGGACAGAAATCCTCGTTTACAAGAAAACCCACCGAACTGGTCCGCTCCACAGGCAAGGAAGGGACTGATCCGGGCTTTTCGGCCAAACGAGCCACTTAGTTCAACAAACCCGATTGTAGAAATTTGGGAATCTCACGCAAATCGAAAATTGGAGTCGGGTGGTTGTAAACCCTGCACACTTGATACTGGACCACTCTCGCGGGAACTTTCGGCCACTGCACGGCGGCGGGGCGGCGGCCGGTCCGGTGGACCGGCGGCCGGACACTCCGGCGAGGCCCGAGGAGACAGTAATGTTCCTCTCTCAACCGCTGATACGGAATCGTTGCCCGATTCTCAATTGGACGTTCTAAGGATTCAACTTCTTAATTTTTGTATATAAAGAATAATTGAGTTAACGAAATTTATGATTATAATAAACAATTGAATTGATATAATAAGAGTTTAGGTTATTGGAATAGTTTAAATTATAATATAGACAGTATGGTCTTTTGTTAAATGATATTAGGTTGAAAGCTTGTGAATTTAATTGGGGGATTGTATAGGAGAATTCAACTTAGGATGCACTTTGTTCGAATGTGATTATAATTAGGTTGAGTATATGAATTTACAAAATCACTATTCAACCTAGCTAATATAATTTAATTGTTGAAAATGCTAGGACATAAGTCAGTTTTTGAATAATGTCATAAATCGAAACGTGAAGGACGAATCGGGGAAACTAATTAGTTAGATAATTAGATGATCGATCTAAATAAATAGTAGTTATTAAATAGTTACTTGTATAAAATGAGTTTACCAGCTAACAATTTAATTACCATAAGTTTTTAGTTTGTCGGCTTATGACTTAAAACAAAAATAAAAATTATGTATATAGAAAGAATATGTATATAGATAATATAATAGAGAGAGAAAGGAATAGAGAGATTTATAAATTAATGGAATTGGATATAGAACCAGACGGATGGAAAGCATGAATCGCTGCAATCCGACTGATACCCAAGATATGATCAATATTGCGATATTCGAAGCAGGTAGATAGTCCAATTTTTTTAGGGGAGGTGCTGCCGAAATTTCGATAGAACTTAGATAAATTTGATTTAACAGTAATAATACAGTCTTATTTAGATTAGTTCTATGATTTGGTACATATAAATAGAGGGCTCTGATTAGTTATTGTCTTATTATCATTTAATCATTCACATCTTTATTAATTTATTTCTCATTATTATTGTTATTTTGTTATTTTATATTTTATTGTTGTTTATTGTTAATGCTATTTATTTATTTATTTATTTTATTGGCATTAATTTTGGATGTTTCAAATGTGCATCCGCATACGATGTCAATTGATTAATATGTCGCATTTTAATTGAAATGTTTGATTACTTGTGCTATGAACTATTACTATCCTTGTTTGTGTGGGAATCTGGGATGAAGTGGACCACCATGGGTTTGTGAGGGGGACGGTCTGTGATATGGTCCTGATTATGATATGATATTTTGACCGTCCGGCCGGGAATGGTGAGAGATCGGCGCCCCCCGTGTGCACCTGATTGATATGGGTTTAGAAGAAACCACAGGATGGCCTCTTGTTGTTGCGCAACCTGATAATCTAGATTTGATTGTAGCCCGCAGGGTGGCCTCCTGTTGTGAGCACCTTGATGGATCTAGATTGGATGGAGACCACCGGGTATGCCTCCTGTTGGTATGGAAGAAAAGGAAAAGACGGAGAATGGAAATTACAGGGGACTTGGTCAGTGAGATTAGACCAGTTGGCCGCTTATGGGGGAATCGGCTCCTGGTGCACATTTGTATGAGGGGCGAGCCATTGTGAGGACGGCTCGTTGGGTGGGGTTTCGGTGACGCCACAGACCAATTTCCACGTGATGTGATATTAATTGTGATTACTGGTGATATGTCATTTGTGTGACTGGCTGTATGAGCATATAACTAGTCGGACGACTAGATTAATATGTTTACACATTTGTGTGACTGCGTGTGTGGTGTAAAATTATTACTCCTTAGAAAACTCACATGTCTTGTTTGATTTTTTCAGGAAGTAGGTTTTTCCTTTAATCCAATTTAGGCTATGTTTCTTCAGCGCAGGGCAATAAAGAATTTTTTCTAGTTCCATAATTATTTTGCTATGTAATTATGTGTATGAAAGCTATGTATACTAACAGTTAGTGGACTCCGCAGTTGTAGGATTTGTTACTTTTAATCGTTTATTTATTTAAATGTGATGCATTGTTAATTGGTTCACGATCTGTGCGAATGGTTGTAACTGGATAAAGTGTGCGCCGAATAATTTAAGAGAATCTGAGATTATTTTTTCGATAAATTATCAGGCTGAATGGTTTTAATTTATATGTGAAATCATAGGGAAAAAAAAATATTTTTAGTGATTTTTTAGGCTTACTACGGGCTCGGCGTGGGCCTTCAAGCTTACCTGGGCCCCTAGTGCCGGTCGGCCCATAGAGACGGGGCTCGTGACACTTATTTTCCCGTTATTGGTTATAATATTGGAAAATTAGTTAAAATTATTAAGTCTTTATCTTATAAGAGGCATAAACAAAGATTAATAATATAGAAATTTATAATTTTAAAAATTTTTATTGTTAAATATGAAGAAGAATACCAAAAAAAAAAAAGAAAAAAATTATTGAGTCAGGTGGATGAAAAAAAAAAAAAAAAAAAAAATTATGAAGTCAGGTGGATGGTGGTGGTGGTCCGTGGTGGTAGCCGGGGGTGGTGGTCGGTGGTAAGTAGTAACTAATAGTAGTGACTACAATGATTAATAAATTAAAAAAAAATATGAATTTATAAAATTTGTCAACGTCCGAAAAATGTTTTACTCTCTCGAAAATGAGAAATTATTTTTCTTAAAAAATGACTTAGTTTTCTTTTGACTAGAAAAATATTTTTTGTTGACTTATTTTTCTGAATGCCCAAATAATAAAAAACGGTGAAAAATATTTTTCTGTTGAAATTAAAAACCACTTCCATACACTGGCAACATTGCCATTGTCGTTGTATTCATCTTTGGTTGGCGTCATTTCTTTAGAATCATCACTACTAGCGAGATTGATGAAAAACCATATGATCTTATTCTCTGCATCTGAGACATCAGAATTCAAATTCTTATAAAAGGAGTCTCAAGGGGTTTCACTGTGGTCATCACGATTAAAAATGTGGACCAAAGTGATCTCTTAGTTTGCTAAGCTCACACGCCATAAATGCTTCTTCCTTGAAGCGATGGTTTCCTCGTCAAGTTTTGTGTTACAGATATATTCTCCAATTGGAGGAATTGGGGTCATGGTTTGAAAAGAACTGAGAGAATTTCAGAGTAAATTAGGGTTCTAAAAGCATCTTTGCTTGTCTCGAGAGTGAATATGAGAAAGAAAGCTAAAATGGGATCAAATAAAAGATGATAAAAAATTATTTAGGTCATTTTATGTTGTCTTGATGGCATTATTATTAAACCCGATCCCAACAGTGCCCCAAATAAAAGAATCGAATGGATGAGTTATTGGTTTAATCAATGAGTTAATGATTCAATTAGCGAGTCATATAAAAGAACCGTCGTTGCAATTGGTTTAATCAATGAAACAACCGTCGTTGTAAATCATTTGGATTCTCTAAAATATGTAGATTTAAATCTAAAGTGGATGTATTTATAGTCATCTAATTAATGCTAAAATATTTCTTCCAAAAAAGGAATGCTAAAATATAGGGAAAACTTATAAAAGAAAGTTTGGGAAAATTTTATCTATACCGGATCTATGGCCTCACTCATAGATCAAATAACGAGAATAAAGTTTTTTTATTGAAACGATGATATTTCTGACTATACACTAAAAAAAAAAAATCGAAACACTTTTTAAAAAATCCTTACTATCATTGATTTGGTCCATGAGCGGGGCTTTGAACCCTGTCTAGAGAAGTAATTTTCAAGAAAGTTAAATTCTTACATCTTTTTAATTAAATGCTAAAAACTATACATGTTTAGAACCGATCTAATAACCAGAAAACTGTGTGTGGACTATGCAGCAGAACTTAGTAACATAGAGAATAATAAAATACTCAGTTAGGTCATATTCGACAAAAGTGTTTGAGGTTGTGTTTAGTATTTTGATTGGATTAAAATACTATCTTAATTAATTATAGCCTTCGATAATATAATATTTATCATAATATTTAAAGTTTAGAGTTTGAGACAGTGTTTCATGAAACGTTTTCTTTATTAACGGGAAAGATTCTCTAGTTGAGATTACCAATCACAAGACAAAGACTTCTTTAACATTTGTTCAACTTAGTATCAAACGTCCCTTTCTACATCCAAATCAAAATTTTCATATGTATCAAATTTCACAAGTGCTATTAATTGCTAAATAAAATCAAAACTAGTTCTCAAGGGGATGAATCTGACGGCTGACCTTGTAGATTGGCATATCTTGCCATAATAGAGTGAAACAGAAGCATTGGCAATACATACACAATATGTAAATTAATGTAAGAAAAAACAAAACTACAATGTCTTGATGGAAAGTGATTGAATTAATTTCTCTAAGGCTCATGAAGAAATCCTTTTAATTGCAAGAGACTAGAGATAAAAAAGGGCTAGGTTGAATATCGTTTTACATAAGAAATATAAGTAGATAAAAATTTTAATAAAAAAAAGTAGATTAAGTTTGAATTTGTTAAATTTAATTTTTAAATAGAATTATAATATGAATATAATTCTTAAAAATATATTATTGTTAATTTTTAAAATTAAAAATTATCCAATTATAATGTGGAAAATAAAGAAAAAACTAAAAAAATTCTCAAAAAAGAAAACGAAAATTTCTGGAGCCCATTGATTCATTGCAAGTCGTCAGAACTCTTACAAATAAAATACTGAATAAAGAGAAAGTCTAGAACTTTCATATATATATAAACTTCATATATATATATATTATATATTATATATATATATATTATATCATATATATATATATATATATATATATATATATATATAAAAAACATCAAATGAGGATTCGTAAAACATAAATGAGGATGTGAAAAACTAAAGATTTAATATTAATATCAAATCTAACTTTAAACTTATTTATTATTACAAATCTAATTCATTTGATTACTAATTAAAGTGTAATAAACAAAATAAATGATATGGAAGTATTGAATAGGAATTTTTTACTTAAATTGGAGCCATCATCGAACTAAATTTGAGATATAATTCCTAAAACTACATTAAATAGGCCTCCAAGTGCTAATGTACACTTGTTCTCGATTCTACACTTTAGAGCTTGTCTGCTAGATGTATAATATATGAATTTGATCATATTTAACCTTTTAAATTTTACCATATTTTAATTCCTAAAATTTTAAATTTTAAAAAATATTTCAATCCTTAAATTATGATTATATATATATAAATACATATTTTTAAAGTATTGTGATGGAGGTATGGGCTTATGGTCTTGTGAGGAAAGCAGATTACAATAATTCACTCATCTTTTGTTCTCTGCAATTATAACCTTGATGAAAGTCTTGTTCGGCAGCAGTGTTTGAAGCAGTGTTTAGTGTTTTGACAGGATTGAAACACTATCTTAGTTAATTATAACGTTCAGTAATATAATATCTACTTATCTTTAGAATTTGAGATAGTGTTTTATGAAATATTATCTTCATTAACATTTAGCTTTTTATAATTTCTTTATAACACCTATACACATCACTTGTCTTTACTTTATTCCTTACTTTCATACATTTTTTGTCATTTTATAATAAACATCTAATCATCGTAGCCAACACTTTTATTCTAAACCGCTATATAATGAATAACTATTAACAATTAATATTTAATAGCTAACTATTCGTAAAACACTGACAGCTATATATTAAAACAGCCAACAGTTACTAGAGCAGTTAAATTTATTGAACAAACCCGAAGTTATTATTTGGTGGGTAGAATTGGAAGTAACCAAGAATGTAAGAAGTATAGTAATAAGTTCTAAAGGAAAATCATTTATTTTTCCAAAAGAAAAAAAAAAAAAGACAATCATTCATATTATCATTTCCAGTTATTTTGGTAATAATAGAACCTCATCATAAATTTAAATCCAAATTATTTATTTGCACCACCTCTTCTCCAGAATATAAATTTCAAATTAAAAATTTGGCAGGAAGAAGGGTGGAAGGTCTTTCATTATGGCAATATTTGGATTTATGATTCTTAAATATAGAGATAAAGAAGGGTGGAAGGTCTTTCATTATGGCAATATTTGGATTTATGATTCTTAAATATAGAGATAATCACTATTAACAATAAAATCCAACACATAAATATAGGAAATTTAATGGTGATGCACCATTTTATTTATTTATTATTGAGGAATAACACATGACATCAACGAGGAAAAAAAAAAGCCTAAAATAGGGAAACAAACATAAACAATAATAAAATCTTAGTCCCACTTGTGCTTTTTTGGAATAAGTATAAGATCGTGCTTGTTATGGATAGTGAGACCACCAGCTTCTTCCATTGGAAAGTCCTCAAATTTCTTTCCATTAGGGAGCTCAAAGTCAAACCCATATAAAAGATTAGCCAATGTGTATTTAACTGCTGTAGTACCCATTACCAGACCAGGACAAATTCTTCTTCCAGCTCCGAATGGGACCAACTCAAAGTAGGACCCTCACCAACTCAAAGTAGGACCCTCTGTAATCAACATCACTGTTCTCAAATCTTTCTGGGTAAAATTCTTCAGGGTTCTCCCACTTAGATGGTTCTCTTCCAAGTGCATAAGTGTTGATGAATACTGTTGTGCCTGGTAAAATGTCATACCCACCAATTTTGCATTCTTTGGTGCAAAAATGAGGGATCAGAAGTGGGACTGGTGGGTGTATTCTGAAGGTTTCTCTTACTATTAATTCCAAGTATTTGAATTTATCAAGATCTCTTCCTTCTACTCTGTTTTTATTTGGTCCAACAATTCCTCTTATCTCTTCTTGTACTTTTTTTATTATTCTTGGATTCTTTAGTATCTCTGTGAATGCCCATGCGGTTGTCACAGAACTTGTATCAATGCCACCCACAAAGATATCCTGCCAAAAAATGTATTATAGTTTTAGAAGATTAGCCTGGAGATCCACAAAAAAGAAAGAACATTATTTGAAAGAAAAATTGAATTTGATACCATGAGAATAGACTTGAGATGGTCTTTAGTAAGTTGGAAAGAAGCACCTTGGTCTCTCATCAGCCCAACCAAGACATCAACAATATCTTCATGTTCAGGCTTAGGTCTATTTGGGTCCAGATGCCGCTCAAGAATTTTCTATCTTCATCGTTCAGGCTTTAGGTCTATTTGGGTCCAGATGCCGCTCAAGAATTTTCTGAAAATACGCAATCAGGTTCTGAAATGTTTTTCTCTTTTAGCAAGAGGCACAGTCAAAGAATCAATGAATCTTCCAGCACTAGGGAAAAATTTCCTCGCGCATGAAAACTGTTTAACAATAAATCCATACGCTTTCACTAATCACCGTTAACAAAACCTTGTTGGGAACTCCAGCTTGTCCATAGCGTCCTTCCGAAAGCAAACAGTAAACCCATAATACCATCAATCATGTTTAAATAACTTAAGCTCTGTAAGATTAACTGGATTAAGGGTATGCATTTGTTAAAAATTTGTTTAAGCTTGTCAATCTGCTCTTCTCTTGCATACCAGAACATATGGCACTCTTTTCATACTCAAAAAGTCAAAAATAAACCAACTTTCCTGCATTTCCCCTGCTTCCAGTAAATCAGGAATATGGAGAGAAATGCAAACATCCAGAAATTTATACTGACAGTCTAAAACCGGCCCGACCGATAAAGGGCGACTTGCAACGTGTCAAGATCATGGTCTTCATTTTGGCTTCTCTTGGGAAAGCCTCTGCACCAAAAGTAAACAACACCAGTGATCTCCCTAATTGAACACGCCATGACAGGCGCCATCATTTTTTGTACCATTTCCACATATCGTAGTACGGCCTGTCGCTACTGGTGAAGATTGCCAATAATGGGAGTCGTGTTGGACCTGGTGGTAGTTTAGGACCTTCAGTTTCTCTTCTTGCCTTTTGAAGAGAAAGAGGGTGAAAATTGAAGAAGAAAAGACTGCAAAGAATTGGAAGCCATTGTTGGTTGAGAGAAATTTAGATTTGATATAGACAATTTCCCTGTGTGTTAATCTTTTTTGGTGTGGGTTTGATTTGAAATGTGGAGTGAATGACTGAACCCTTTAAATACTGCAGCAATGTATGTGATAACCATGAAGACATGAATATTTCTTTACGAGGAAATATAATATAATATATTATTATAGCACACATTTTTTCATTATGTTAGATATTTGCAGTTGTATCACCTACCTTGTTACACATTGCCATAGTCATTTTAATAGGGCATACCGAAGTTGAAATTCAAATCAAAAACCGATAGTGAATCGAGTTAAAATGTGCCATCATACTCCAATCAATGGCATGCCGATTTCAAACCATAATCAAAACCTCATATTTTTATTGTTTGGGTTTCGGTTCTTCCATTTTCTAAAATGTAGAATCCAAGACTAATTTTAACAACTAAAGAAAAACTAAATTAACAAGAAAACAATATATTTTTTGTTTTGTTATAAAATTTTTAAGATTAAATTTTTAAAAAAACTTTTAAATTATTAAAATTTGGTTTAGTTTGTCCGAATAGTATTATTATTATTATATTATTATATTATTATTTCAAAATACAAAACTAAAAAAAAATAATATAGTTTTAAAAATGAATTATCTAATTTCGGTTTTCAATATCCAAAACGAAAATCAAAACCGGTGGGTTCTGAAAAACCATCCTTAAAGTTGTGCCGTAAAAGGTGATTTAAATTTTGATTTCAATGCCTTATAAGCTTTTAATAGGATCGAAATCTACAGTTTTAAAACCCGAAACCAAATTGGCTCTGAAACTATGAAAGACATAACTACCTCTCTCACTTCTCCTTTAAAATAAGACTTCGAACGGCGAAACCTCCTAATCCTCAACACTAGTGAATAAGACCAAAACCATACACGATCTTGTTGGCATAGAATCTTCATATTTTATTATTTGATTGAAAATATTACATAGTTTTGAAATGTTATTTAAAATAAAATAAATTGATTTAAATTCCATCGTTCATATAAAATGATGTAATTAATAAAGACCAACTCTGAGCTGAGTTTCTCTCTCCAAAAATGACGAAGCTTGAAGTAATGATGAAATTCTATCAATTTATGAATTACTTTTTCTCAACCAATAAAAAAATCCAAGGAATCCACAGTAAATGTTTAAAATGTGTGTTTGGAAAGGTGAAAATAGCTGAGAAAGGAACAATAATTGGAGTAAAATAACTGAGGAAAGTTAATTTTTGCTTCTGTTTGGATTAATGTTAAGAAAATTGCAGAGGAAGGAGAATTTGTACGAAATCCTCTTGGCCGCAATTTTTCAATGCTCTCCGAATCGGAGATAAAACAACAAATTTTTGTGGGAAGATTTTTATGTTTGTACATAAATTACAAAAAAAAATTTCATTTTCCTATCTCCCAAACAATTAAACTCCTCTGTCCCTTGTTCCATGTCGCTGCAATTTCCTCCCACAAATAAGGCAATATAGAGGATGGAAATTGGAAAGAACGCAAAACTATTAAATTGTTGATGCTTTATATTAAAAAACTAAATATTTGATTTTTTTTTACGACTGTGATTGAATGGTTATTTAAATTGAAAGTTAAATAGTAATTAATTAAATAATATTATTTTTATTTGTCAAGTAAACCTTGTAACATGTATATAAAATGTTAACGTTAAAACTGCAATTATGCCAACAGTAATATTTCTTTTCCTCTCTTTATTTTCCTTTCAATCTAAAGTGGATAATATCCAGGAAGAATAATAAAACCATCTTCTTTTTTATTTCCCTTGTTATTTTCCTTTCTTTCTTATTTTCCGTCTCCTCTTTTCCAACAGGAGCATAATTTATGACTTCTTATTTTTATTTTTTACTCTAATATCAAAATATTAAACCATAGTAAAATCCAGACTTCAATAATATATATTATATATACGCATAATACTCCTAAAAATCTCCCTTATATTTTCTTAAATTTTCCAGTATCAACCTAATTGTCATTTAGAATATTTAATGCATTAAATATAAAGGCGGATTTTCTACTATATATTCATCGAAATTTTAGCAAACATCTCTCTGTATAAGAGTGTTCAATCAAGTGTACAATACTGGATAAATCTTAAATAATGCATACTTCAAGAAAAGGAGAGATGTAAAAGCATATTCTAACATAAAAAACGACATTTTCATATTTATATTCTAATAGAACAAATTTATTTTCTAAATATCTTATCATAGACAATGCCAATGTCTTCTCATCATCTGCTGAGAAAAATACAAAATGTGTAACAATGATTAACTATGCTTAAATTTTATTTGTTTTAAAACCTAATCCCAGAAACTTAAATAAAGATCCAATTCCTAAAAAAAAAATTATACAAACAGTATATTCTCACAATTCCCAGAGAAACAAAATTAAAGCTTCGAAATTTAAATTCCTATATATATATAATATATATATTATATATATAATATATATCATAATATAATTCCGTAAACCAAAATAAGTGACATAATAAAAGAACCAACAATTTATTATTCTACTTACATTTTTTTGAAATGATATTCTGTCTGCTAATAACGTTAATATAATTAACATCAATCACATTTTAAAAATTAAGTCATTATCTAAATTATTAATCTCAGTTAATTAACTATATTAATTTAATTATTCATTAATTAAACCAATTTACTTTATTACTGAATTAAAATATTATGGTACAATAACATTACACTGAATTTGTTCTGAATAATATCTAATTGAAATTAATCAAACTCCAAAAAAATAAAAAATAAAAACAATTTTCCAATTAAAGATCAATCAACTTCTAATATCAACAATTTACATAAGATAAATAAATAATTCAAACAACAAATTACCAAAGAAAAAAATGAAACGATAAATTAATAGTAGAAAGTGAATAGAATACTAGTGGAAAGAGGAGTTGGCATATTTTCTCGGACGTGTGTCAATGGGCATTGAATGACATAGTGCAGTATTAATGAACTACGACCAACTGTTGATTTGATTCTGGAGGGCGAACCAAAAATTGCCTGTTTTAGTTTAAATTAAAATTACAGACAATATTTCAATCATAATGTTTTTAAATTGCCACTAAATTAGTTAATGAGATACATGCTACAGTCCGTTTTACAAAGCAAAATTGCTCACTAATTATCTTTAAATTATTGTTTCAAGTTACGAGATTGAAATAGTACCGTCGCTATTTTTGGTACTTATTTATTTTCCGTTGCTACGGTAAACACAGGTCCGCCACTGAAAATATGAACTTTCTTTTCTTGGAAATTTTGTTCATTATTTTAATTGAAAATTTCAGTTAAATTAATTAGTTTTATCGTTGATGATAATCTGTGGTTATTTACGTGTAAGCTAATTACCTTTCTTGTAAGTGGAATTGTAGAATTGAATATCTATATGTTAAATTTTTTTTAAATATAAAGATAGATTTAGGTGATAACCATTAGATGTCATAAGTCTTTAGGTTTGATCTCAACCAATATTATTTAAAAATCTAATTTACAACAAAACATTCTTGACTAATTTTTTTTTAAGCTATAAGAGTATCAAATATTATTCCTTACCACTCATCTAAACATCGACTTTACTAAAGAAAATAAAGAATCTAAAAAGAGAGCTCAACATTGAGAATAATTCTCCCTGCAAATTGATACTAAGGGCAGATCTTACAATGGGGCACGAGGCAACTTGCCGCCACTGGCTTTTTACCAGTTTAATTTATAATTTTTAACGTTTTAGTATATTATAATTATGTTACATAATGTGTTTGTTTCACTGAAATTTTTATATTTTAGCCGCCCTGTTGAATTATTACATTTATACATTACTCCTAACCAATTTAATTTTTGGATCCACTGAATGTGTATCACTATATAGTGAAAATTATAAAAAAAATCTTTTATTAAATCAGTTGATAGAATAAATTTACTAATTTCCCATCAGCTTCGATTTGAAGTTTTTTTCTTATCAATCTGCTAACTTTTTTGTAATTTTATATTTTTTTTCAACATTCATTGACCTTATAACAATAACTATTGGTAAATTTTCTCTTTTTTTTTTTTGTAAATTAATATTTTTACCTATGTCCATGTTTATTTAACAG